CTTGGCTCACTGCAATCTCTGCCTCCCTTGTTCGAGTGATTCTACTGCCTCAGCTTCCTGAGTAGCTGGGATTACGGGCGCCTGCCAACAAGCCTGGCTAATTTTTGCATTTTTAGTAGAGGCGGGGTTTCACCATGCTGGCCAGGCTCGTCTTGAACTCCCGCCTTGGCCTCCCAAAGTGCTGGGACTACAGGCATAAGCCCCCACGCCCAGCCATGAGATGCTTTTATACTTTTTAGATACCAATAAATTGAGAACTGACAGGATAAGGGACATCTGGTAGGGGCAGTAAATTTCTAGGTGAGTGATGAGGAGGTATTTGAGGTGGAAGTGTAAAACTAGTGGAAAATAAGAGTTACTTTGGAAAGTATGTTTATTCAGGTCCATTGCAGCCCCTAGTTCCCAGTCTCTGGTAATCAGGGCTACTTTTTTGCCCTGGGACAGGGAGGGCATCCCTCACAGAGGAATCCTGATGGTGTGCTGCGTGCAGGAAGAGGCAGTTCAGCTCGCCCTTTCTGAAACTACGATTTCTCCAGTTTTCAACTCACAATGATCAAGATACCAGATTGGCACATTGGCATGTCCTTCACTCCTTCCTTGAGTTTCTTTGTCTATAAATGGATGGAGCCTGGACACGGTGGCTCACGCCTGTAATCCCAGCATTTTGGGAGGCTGAGGCAGGCAGATCACCTGAGGTCAGGACTTTGAGACCAGCCTGGCCAACATAGAGAAACCCTGTCTCTACTAAAAAATGCAAAAAAAAAAAAAAAAAAAAAAAAGAAAGAAAAATAAAGAAAACCCGGGTGTGGTGACACATGCCTGTAATCCCAGCAACTCAGGAGGCTGAGGCATGAGAACCACTTGAACCCAGGAGTTGGAAAAGCCAAGATAACGCCACTGCACTCCACCCTGGGAAACAGAGTGAGACTGTCTCAAAAAGAAAGATAAAGTGGATGGAAATAATGATGGTACTTCTAGCACAGAGTTGTGAGAATGAAATATATATTTAGAGCATAAACCATGAAATATGTTTAGAGCACAGCTCTCAATAAATGTTATGTGGTTATAGTTTACTAGCTACCCAAAGTGAGCAGCCACAGCCTCTGGCCATACCCTGCCAGGAAGAAGAAGGCTCCTTTTTTTTTTTTTTTTTTTT